ACCACCACCACATAGAGTTATAAAATTTAATATAGCATTTGGAAAATAACCTTTTTGACGATAATAATCAATTTCAATTGGATTAATAACATTTTCTGGATCACGTTTAGATAATTTTCTTCCACGTTCACGTTCAAGTAATGGTAAATGACCATATATAGGTGCTGACCAATTAAAAGCTTTATAAAGAAGTAAATGTTTTGATGTTGATGTTTGCCACTCATGACCACGTAAAACATGAGTTATATTCATTAAATGATCATCAATAACATTTGCTAAATGATATGTTGGATAACCATCTGATTTAAGAAGAATAAAATAACCTTCACTTATATAAGGATTATGCTCATAAGACCTTGTTGAAGATATTCATCTAAAGAATAATAACATTTCATTAATATTAAAAGATTTGAGTAAGAAATTCTATTATCATGAATCCATTGATATGAAAAACTTCGAAAGCAAAGCCGTCTTCAAATGTTTTTGGTATCTGTTAATTTCTCGAAGGTATAAGTCAAACTCTCAATGAATAAAATTTACAGTTTAAAATGTTACCCATATCAGATCTATGCAACTAGTAGAAATATATTGAACTTCTCAGTATTATAGGATATCCAGTAAGTCATAAAACAGACACACTAAAAATTGAATATCTCCATTATGCCATCGAAGTTATTCGTATCATAAAACATTGTTGTTTGATTAAAGTTCACGTGTACTGTGCATAAAGCCAATAATGTCGTTATGCCTATAAGTTGTATTTCTTGTTCCGTTTATTTTATCCAATAGAAAAAAACTACTCACTTGACTAACATTGCTACTACGAACAATGTCATATTGAATATAAATAAAAATTGTTAGATGACCTGTTAAATAATGTAATGCAAAATTACCCTGTAAAAGGACGAATAATAGCGGTTGAGTTGTATTTTTTATGTTAACAGAAAATAAATAACCTTGATCAACTGTAGCAATACATCTTGATGAGTTTGTTGAGGAATCATTGAATAGTAAAGAACTTAGACAACTACAAACCATTAAAGCATGTGCTAGTATATTACTTAATGCAATAGCGAAAGTCTTATCATCTTTTTGTCTCATTATTTCCGTCAATTCGAACAATTCAAAAAGTGACCATAATGGATTATCTACTAAAGCATTATATGAATTGTTAAATTGGAATATGTATTTATCACCAACTGGTCTTAATTGATTGAAATCGCCCAAAACTATGACTGATACTCCGCCAAATGGTTTTTTGGACTTCATTATTTGCTGCAAACGTGCATCGACGTGTTGAAACATTGTAAAACCAACCATTGATATTTCGTCTATGATTAGTAATTGTAGATCTTTCAATTTCACTCCAATTCTATTTGAAATATCACTGTCTAGTTTAACGAGTTTATGTTTGCATTGATTAACTGGTAAACTTAAAAATGAATGCAATGTCATTCCATCAATTAGTGCTGCTGCTTTGCCAGTTGGCGCACAGATTGCAGTA